GAATTTTAAATAAAAGCACACACTCTGCTCATGTAAAAACATGGATTCCCAGACCGTCTGCGGGCCAGATTGAGAAGGCAATTTGGCCTTAGGTTGCCTACTCCTGCTTTAAGGCAAAGGTAAAGGGACCCCTGACCATTAGGTCCAGTCGTGGCCGACTCTGGGGTTGCGGCACTCATCTCACTTTATTGGCCGAGGGAGCCAGCATACAGCTTCCGGGTCATGTGGCCAGCATGACTAAGCCACTTCTGGCGAACCAGAGCAGCGCACGGAAACGCCGTTTATCTTCCCGCCAGAGCGGTACCTATTTATCTACTTGCACTTTGACGTGCTTTCGAACTGCTAGGTTGGCAGGAGCAAGGACCAAGCAACGGGAACTCACCCCGTCGCAGGGATTCGAACCGCCAACCTTCTGATCGGCAAGTCCTAGGCTCTGTGGTTTAACCTACAGCGCCACCCGCGTCCCACTCCTGCCTTAGTCCCTCATGAATAATATGGCCATCGACACCCAGCCAAACAATCTTTCATGGAAGGAAAACTTGGGAGGGGGGCACCTGACCTCACAGCCGTATGAGATCGCCCCCTTACTCCTGCAGTGCTGGAGGAGGCTGACAGATGGTAACGTTTCAGATGCCCCTGGGCTGATGGAACTTCAGCAAAATGGCTGCACTGCAGAGAAATTGCTTGTAAGTCTCGTGCCATCCTGGGTGAATTCAGAAACTGTTTCAATTAGGCAAATGGCAAGCATTTGGGAGGTAAGCATTTGTAAGATCCTTCTTACAAAAGGTGTGAGGTGGTGGGAGAAAGGAATGAAGCTGTCTCTCGAAGCCTGTTAGTTTAAGGGAGATTTGCCAACTTGTGCAGCTTGAAATGTGCAGAGGAGTCTATCACTCCTGACACATACAAGGAATATGCAGAATGGAACCAAAGGCCGTGATTGATGACCTTCTGTCAAGATATGCTGACTCCAGGCAGCGCTCTCCCAAGCTTGTTCTAATTCCTGCTGCTCCAGAGCACATCCGCAGCACATTAATGAGGCCTTATGAAAATGGATTGCGTTTCAAAACGCCAGTGTGATTATGGGCTCGCTTCCTGAAAACCTAGCCAGCTCCTTTTGATAGTTTCATTAGGCTGAATAGGGTACTAATAGTACTTAATATTTATATAGCACTATACCCTGAGTCCCTGGTTAATAGCTAGATTTCCCAGAGGATCACTTTTAAGAATGCGGTCAGGAACGGAGACCTCAGGCTTTACAGTACTCCTGTGTTGCTGCTGGGTTGACAACTGTGGGGTATACCCTTGTCCTAAGGGGGTTCCATTTGGCCCAAAGAGCTCCTGTTGCTAAGCCCTACCTTAAGTGCTCTTACACACACCACGCTGGTAACCTTTAACTCACTACTATAGGGTAGACCTATAGGGTAGACCTAGGGACGCGGGTGGCGCGGTGGGTTAAACCACGGGGTGAGCTCCCGTTGCTCGGTCCCTGCTCCTGCCAACCTAGCAGTTTGAAAGCACGTCAAAGTGCAAGTAGATAAATAGGTACCGCTCCAGCAGGAAGGTAAACAGTGTTTCTGTGCGCTGCTCTGGTTCGCCAGAAATGGCTTAGTCATGCTGGCCACATGACCTGGAAGCTGTACGCCGGCTCCCTCGGCCAGTAAAGCGAGATGAGCGCCGCAACCCCAGAGTCGGTCACGACTGGACCTAATGGTCTACCTTTATAGGGTGGACCACTATTTTATTTTTGCAGACAGGAAGCTGAAGCCAAGAGATTATTGCTTGCCTAAGTCTTCTAAGTGAAATTGTGGCTGATATTGGAACCACAAACATGTAGCTCATGTTCCTAACCGTTATGAGTTCCTGGGGGCTAAAACTCATGTAACACAGAGAGATCAACCCTCCCTTTTAAGACTTAAAAGCAACTGCTAGGAGGAAGCCTGGTTTGGATGACAGGTATCACGTTGGCGTAAGAGCCAATCTGCCAATTACTGCTTTTGACTTGAGCCCAAGGATTTGTATTTCAAAATTGGGGTGTTTGCTTGTGCCGTTGTTTCCTTAAGCCTGCAATACTGTGGGGTTGGTGTCAATAGTAGAGTCCAGGGCAAGCTATTGGAGATCAGAAGTGCCAAAATCAAGATGCTTGATGTAAAGTTGGCAAGAGGGTTCCATAAGCTGTCATGTGGTGAAAGGAAGGAAAAACCTAAGATTGCCTGAGTACTCTTGCTGTGAGAAAACTTCTCAGTCTAAAGGGAAGACTCCGTGAATGGGATTTTATAAGCTTTGGTGGAGACCATTTGCGAGGGGGTCAGCTGACAGTGCCCAGTCATGTGGTACGGCCTATTTCACATCTTTCACATGCGGCAAAAAACACTGCACTGCAGCACAAGAAATAAGGTGCTGGACCCCTGGTACAAGACCTCCCAGGGTGCTTAACAGGACCCCTGGCCTAAACTGGCAAGGCTCTTTTGATTAGGAAAGGGCACCATGATGATAGCCTTATGCTGTATCAGGCTTCTGGAAGCAGATGTACACACCTATCATTCTCACAACCAGAGTGTGCACCTGCTCTTCCCTTGTCCCAGGTGATGTGTATGTAATTGTATTCCAAATGTTTCTTATTTTTGTGATGCCTGGATTTTCATTAAAAAGCCTCAAAAGGTGATGGTACAACCTGATTATCTTGTTTCAAAGTAAGGCGGTTGCTCCAGCAGCAGCAACAAAAATGGACAGACCTAGTAAAGCTTACATCTGAAATGACCCAGTCTTTCTTCTTGCTTGCCTTGGCCATTTCCCTCCACTTGCCTTCCGGTCTACATCTATAGGTAGCTGTTTTCTTGGGGGGGGAAAATATTTTCATGAATATTCAGAAAAAAACCCTTCATTTTGAAAACAAAGACAGCAGCCAATTGCCACATATTTACGAACAGCAAGATTTGAAGGAGCCATGTTGCTATGCATTTGTTAAAACTTCCAACAAGATGCGAAAAGCCCACCCTTCGGTGTAATCCCATCCCTCCAAGGTAGCCATGCATGGGGATTTTATTAATCTTTTTGCCCTTTCTCCCCTTCCAATTTCCCACCTCCAAAACACTCAATTCACTCCTCCAACAAGTCATGCACATGGTTTTTCTTAATTCCCTTCCCCCTCCTCCCCTTTCTATTGTCTGCAACCTTGTTATTTCTCAGGGGGAAAAGCTGTCAGGTGACACATTTGCATTTCTTCTTTCAAGGAGCCTCCTCGCAGCGGAGGAAGCAGGCAGCTCAAAGCCTCAAGTATATTGTCACAAACCACCAGTTCCAGGATGTTCCTGCACACAAAGGCCGCGTCACAATCTCCCTTGTCATTTTTCATATGCCACACGCCAAGTGAGCCATGGAGCACAGTAACCAGACACACAGCTGGTGTGACATCCTGTAAGTGACACTGTCAGAAAGTTTGATGCTTTGTCAAATGAGATCTCCTGTGCAGCAGCAGTGGCTGCACTTCCCTTGTTTTGAAAATTGGCAGCATGTAGGGCTCTGTGGGTGCACTGTGACAGGCACGGCCTGTCCAAATCCTGTAGCCAAAAGGAGCTGAGCTAGTGTAGGAGACCTGGTTTGTGAAACTAAGACCACTGGAAATAGCCGAACTAACTGCAGGCCCTCAGAATTTGGCAATGAATAAATTCCTGCCTCTATGCTACTTCCCTTCCTTTTTCTGTCACTGTTTCAAGATAACCTTTCATCATCTCCTGTGTCTCAGAGGCACGGTATTGGTGTCCCTCCTCAGCATCAAATGATTTGCCAGCTCCTGCCTCGCCTGCATCCCTAAAACCCAAACTTTCCTCTGTCTATCAACTACCAAAATGTTTGGCTATGTTCTGGTTGTGTCTTACCTTTGATGACATCTCTCCTTCCGGCATTTCTCATCTTCAGAAACCAAATGATAAACACCACGCTCTGCATAAACTTCTAAGCTTCTCCTCACTTTTACAGCAATTTGCCACCAACTAGAATTTTTCTTATAGTTTTCCCTCACCTCTGCTGCTCCACACAAGCCCACCTCCTCTCAAATTCAGTTTTACCGCCTTCTCCCATTATTTGTTATGTCTGGAAGCTGTTCTTCATCCAAAAAGTGGCATAGGCGGTGTTCCTAGGTGGTGTTCCATCAGATGGTGTTGCCTATTTATAGTATTTTGCAATGTATTTGGCATTACTACTGAGAATCATTCATGTACAATTACTTATGTACCTGTTATACACACTGTCAGTATGTACAGCTTCTGGATTTTTTAATACTTAATAATATTTTCCAGTAATGATACAGCAGATATCTGATTCACTATTGTTGTACCTTGGATTCCAAGTTTTGTATTACCATGCATTTATTTATATTGCATAGATCTAATATCAGCTGTGGAAGCCCTTCGGAGTGAAACAAGGGAGATATTTGGAAACCTTGTTCTGCCCAAGTTAGCAGTTTGCACCTGCACCAGCCAGCTTGTGCCAGCAGTCTACATCAGCTGTGTTGTTCTTGTTACCTTAAGGACTTTTCTATTTTTACCTAAGGATTGTGTTATACAGGATCTTACAAGAAGAAACAATAAGAAAAGATAAGAAAAGACAAATTGTGTTAATATTGTAATTAGTTTCATAGGTTATATTCCGTACATATGAACTGTATTTGTTGCACATACTGGGTTTGACCAGCTTAGCTGCAGAGGCAGAACTACGCAAAGTTCTTAACCCGAGGTACTACTTCTGGGTTAGCAGAGTCTGTAACCTGAAGCGTCTGTAACCTGAAGCATATGTAACCTGAGGTACCACTGTATATGTGTAGTTTTAATTCTCATAGGCATTAGCACGGGGTGGTTAATTACTCTGGAATAAAAGGGCTGTGTATTCATCCTTTCAAGGTTTATGCAATGTGTCAAAAAAGCTGTAAGGTGATTTGATATCCCACCCCCTCCCGGAATGCCACTTGAGAATAAGAATAAAAATGGTTTTATCCAACAATAAAAAAAAGTGAAAAGACATTTTATGGTACAATTCCTCTTGAACATCACACTGTATTTTGGGAAGTACAAAGATGCATTACATTCTCTTAAATTAACAGAGATGAAAGAACAAGTGATTTTTTTTGTACCACACCATCATTCATAGATGAACCTGGCAAATATATTTGATTCAGCGTAATTTGTTCATACAGACAAACCTTTCCATATTTTATGTAACATCAGCTAGCCGAACAAATGTATGTGAAAACCTTGCTTAAGCATTCTATTAAAATATAGCACAAATCTATAAAAATAAGATTGTATCATATTCGCAAGTGACTTGGTTTGTCTACACACACTATGGACTGATGTAAAGTTTTGGACCGCAGAGTAGAAAAAGAATTAGCTCTGCATCAGTACTTTGCAAAGGACCCAAGTCCTGGGATAGCGCCAAACAAGCGCCACACTTCTTGCTCTTGCAACCGGCTATGCCAACTCATAATATTTCCCAGTTTCAGGATCAAAGTAACAGTTTAGGCATGGATCATACAAGAGAGTGAGAACTTCGTCTTCTTCAGCCTCAAAGTCACCCCCTTCACCTAAAATGAAAGGAAGAGTCCATTAATTCTGGTTTGACCAGGAAAACAACCACCACAGGTGGAGGAGATACAATATTCTAAACTGTCTCACAGTATTACACCAAAAGTCTATCTAGTCCAGTATTTGTTTTCCAGCAGTGGCCTTTGGGAAGGTCACAAGCAGGGCATAAGACAACAGGCCTTCTTCCCCTGTTGATAGAGGTGTACTGCAATGATAGATACAGGAACCACTCTTAGCTTTTATTGAAAATTAAGTTACTTTACTGTGGGGCTGCCTCTGCAGCTCTCCAGCCATTGCAAAGAAGGTGAATTCCATGTAAGAGTTCATGGATCACAAATAAACAGTCAACACTGTAAAGCCTTTATACCAGGCGTAGCCAACCTTTTTATACCTACCGCCCACTAATGCATCTTTCTTGATGGTAAAATTTCCTTACCACCCGCCAGTGCTCGATGGAAGGAAGATTCAGCTTATGCCGCAGAACCCCCTACCGGCCACCTAGAATCCTGAAACGCCCACTAGTGGGCGGTAGGGACCAGGTTGACAACCCCTGCTTTATACAAATCCACGGTAGGAATTTACTTGGAAGAATGTGTGGAATTCTGATCAGTACGTCTCAAAAAGGATATTGTCAAACTGGAAAGGTCAATCAATTGACCTCTATGACGGAAGATTAGAAAGTTTGGGGCTTCATAGTTTACTAAAAACAGAAGCAAAGGAGGACATTGTAGAAGTGTGTAAAATTACTTGTGGCATGGAGAAAGGGGACAGAGAGAGGTTTTCCTCCCTGACTCATAATACTAGAACTCAATTATTCAATGAAGTTTGATGATGGGTGACTGACAGACAAAAAGCAAGTACCGTCCTTTCCCACATAGCAGTTATGCTATGAAATTCACTACCACAAGATACGGGGATGGGCACCAACTTAGAATTAGGCTTAAAATGGTGATTAGACAAATTCATGGAGGTTAGGGCAATCAGCAGCGACTAACCAAGTGTTGAGAGGCTGCTTGCCTCTGAACACCACTCGCTGGGGAACAACAGTGGGACATGCCTCAGGTCTTGTTTGTGGGCTTCCCAGAGGCATCTTGTGGGCCACAGCGAGAAACAGGTCACTGGACTAGATGCGACTCTGGTATGACCTCAAACCGGGCACACAAAGACGCCAGGCTGAGTAGAAGTCCTAGAGAAACTCACAACTGTGGCTAGAAATTCCCAGTGTTTCTTTATTCCATCAAACACATATTTTTTTTTAAAAAAAGAATGCCGGCAGAGAGCTATGAGCCCATTTCACGAAAAGTCTTTTTATAAGTGCTAAAAAGTAAGGTAGATGATGGATAATAACCTGATGGCAAATAATAATTCACAGTTGAATGCAGGCTGTATTCTACATTTCATCTAAAGTGCTTACCTCTTTCTCAGAATGACAGTGCGAAGTAACTGCATTGTATGCTCTGCTGACTCAGAGTAATGGCCTGTTATGCCAACAGCAGCGGCTTCACAATGTTTAGAATGTATTTACAGCTGAGACTAGACAAGTTACAGGTTATGAGAAATGGGAGGGTACATATTGTGTGCAGATACCCCACTCCTGTTCCATTGTGCTTTTTCCTTCATGCTTTGTTCCTTAACCAGCTTTTTACATCCTTAAGAACACACAACTTCCCGTCCCTAGGGGGCTGGATTAAACCATTTCAGAGTGGAGACAGATGAACTGAATGGTGCGTTTTATTTTAAAAGCTTGGTAGCTAAACTGGCTTGAGTGCGAGCTTTTGTTGCATGGCACCACATGAGATTTATGAGCAGCAGGTGACTGGTACCTACTGTATACTGCTCGTTCACAGCTCATAACACTATGGGCGCTTCCAGGCTGTCAGCTGCGAGAGGGATTCAAGGGCACAGCAGAACTTTAGTTTTGTGCAATTAAAGCGGATTAAAGTGCTCTGTTGGCCTAGTGCGACAAATATGCTCGAACACATGGCCTTTCTGCAGTCTGAAGGGTTATGAGGGGATGCATCTGAAAATGTGGGATGGATGAAAGACTAATGGGCAGACCTGAAAACATCCTATAAGCAAAGCAAGATGGATGTGAGATGAATGCTCACTGTAAGCAAGGCAGAATGAATGCTAAACTCCGTGTAAGCAAATGCAAAATAAATAGTTCATCTGGAGGAGCCCTATATTCTACCAGTGGAGCCAGTATGCCCAGTTGGTTGGGCAGCACTACAAAACTGTCTAAGCAGCCAAATAAAGCCACTGCAGATAGAGAAGGCGGTATGGACCTGGTCACCCCATACTGGAACAAGGAACAGGAGGAGGACATTGTCCTCATACTCTGCTCGTGAGCAGCTAGAGTTGTCTGTCTGTCTAGCCACTCTCAGAACCAGAGTGCTGAACCAGATGGACCCTTCCAGGGTCTGACCTGGGATGGTAATTCTTAGGCTGGGAAGAAAAGAGAATCAACATGGTCGTCGTTCTAATAATGGGGGCTTTTACAAAAAGAAGCATTACTCACACCCCCCCTCCCAGTCCACGCTATCCCTTCAAATCTATACACCCCTTGGTTAAGTAAAGATACATTTCTGAAGAAGCAGATGCTCCCCAAACAAACAGGGAACTATAAAATGGAAAAACGGGCCTTTCATGTGTTAGCCGTGAGTTATGCCTCCAAATAAAGGATATCACAGAGATCTTTTATTAGCATGAACAACAAAATTGAGTTTTTGTTTTAGGATCTCATTAGAGATGCATATAAAAGTTGACAAGGATATTCTGTACCGAGTAGTAAATAACCACAGGTTTTCTTGCCTGATAACTTGATTTTGTTATCTTCAAGCCTCTGTGTCTCTGTGATTTAGGAGGCATCAACCTCCTTCGGATGGCAGCTGCTTTTTGTACTGCAGCTTCCACTATGTCTGTAATTCGCGACTTAGTGACAAGGGCCACTGCACTGCAGAAATAGTCCATGCAACTCAGGGGAGATGTACTTATGCTAAGACAAGGGGACCGCTCCTCCTGGGACGTGACCCCGACCCCAGTCCCTGCAGAGGGAGCTGTCAGCCACATTTAGCAGCAAGAGAATGCCAGCTGGGAGTTTATAATGTGGCCTGAAAGTGGGGCTGGGATCGCAGGGATTGCACAACTAGTCCTATATGCCCAAGAGGGCAAGCCTCTTTAGAAACTGAGGGGAATTATAAAAAGTTTGTGATATGGCCTTGGGGTGTGTGTGCATGTCTCCTGTTCTAAAGGAAAATGTCAACAACCTCACTGGGTATGTCCAAAGGAGCTGCCTCTATCTTTTCGGCCCCAGCATTTAAACTTGTCTCATGGATCAGGTTGGACGTAAGCAACAAGAACTTTTTAAAAATGTGGTGTAAAATAACTTCTTTGCTTGATTTAAACATGTCTCCGCTCTGTTTTGAGGCAACTCATCTGAGGGGTTTGAACTGTAAATATCTCTGCAGGTTTATAAGCTGATGAAGCAATTCTATGATTCTATGTCTGAAGTTTAGGGTGATGTCTTCTATTCAGACTCCTGGTGAGAGGTCCCACCTTCAAAGGTGTGTCTTCTTCTACTTTGCCTTAATTTTGTGCTTAAGCTCTTGCTGTGTAAGCATGGTGTTTCCCCACTTTCTTGTAGAAGTGCCCCAAACTACAATAGCTATCTATACGTTGCTTGTGGGTTGTGGTGCAGCTGATGTTTCTGCTGAAACTCCCAACTACGTATTTGAGGAGCTGCTGATTGTTTGTGAGATGAAACCCCTTTCTAGTTCTTGAATAATCAGTGACCTTAACCCTAACATAGTGGCACCAAAACAACAAGAAAGAGAGAGGAGAAAAATGGGAAGGCAGAGAAAGAAAACACATTTTGATCCTACACATTTGTACCGATTCTACCTGTCTGATTGTGAAAAGAACATCAAATGAGCCCAGCTAGTTCAGGCCATCTACGTCCAACATCCTGCTTCCTACGATGGTCAACAGGAAGTTGATCGCCAGGGCATAAGTTCTTCTTCTTTGGCGATCACTCGTAGGCGAGTAAGACTGTCTTCCATAAACACGGTTTTAACAATGAGTCCGTAAGTGACTGTGGAGGCCAATTCTGGATCCACACGTCCTTCCACAGTGGGGACATTGGTTTCCGGACGGGAGTTGATCACGGTGTGGATTTGCCAAGCGTGCCTTCCTCTTAGCACGTTTCTCCCTTGCGTCCTGAGTTCGAGTGTCTTCAAAGCCCATGACACCTTTGGTAAAGGCTGTTCTCCAACTGGAGCGTTCGCAGGCCAGTGTTTCCCAGTTGTCAGTGTTTATACTACATTTTTTTAGATTTGCCTTGAGACAGTCTTTAAACCTCTTTTGTTGACCACCAGCATTACACTTTCCGTTTTTAAGTTTGGAATAGAGTAGTTGCTTTGGAAGACGATCATCAGGCATCCGCACAACATGACCAGTATGCCAGGCAACAATGTTTCTTTTCCCCCAGGCTTTTGATTTGGAGGGTTTTAGGCAGTGCTTTTCTTCTAGAAAAAAAGGTGCCAATACTCCATGCCCTTGAGTACTCCCAGAAAAAAGCACTGGTTTTAGGTATATTTGTGGCCCCTTCCTTGCCTACCTTTTAGTGGGGTGGGGTGCAATATACCTTTTATATACCTTTTATGTATATTTGGAGATATTCTTAGGCTTTTATTCTGTTCTGACAATTTATATTATATTATATTATTATATTATATTATTATATTATATTATATTATATTATATTATATTATATTATATTATTATATTATATTATATTATATTATATTATATTATATGGTAAAGGTACCCCTGCCCGTACGGGCCAGTCTTGACAGACTCTGGGGTTGCGCGTCCATCTCACTTAAGAGGCCAGGGCCAGTGCTGTCCAGAGACACTTCCGGGTCACGTGGCCAGCGTGACAAAGCTGCATCTGGCGAGCCAGTGCAGCACACGGAAACGCCGTTTACCTTCCCGCCAGTAAGCGGTCCCTATTTATCTACTTGCACTTTGACGTGCTTTCGAACTGCTAGGTTGGCAGGCGCTGGGACCGAGCAACGGGAGCGCACCCCGCTGCGGGGATTCGAACCGCCAACCTTTCGATCGGCAAGCCCTAGGCGCTGAGGCTTTTACCCACAGCGCCACCCGCGTCCCCCTATATTATATTATATTATAATCATGTAATCTCACTGTATACAAGTTGTACAAGTGACAATAAAGTATTTCAATTTCAATTTCAATATTTGATTTTAGTGTTTGGACTATGTTGTAAGTCACTTTGGGTCACTTTTTGTTTTTACCCCCCCCCCCCAACTAAAGTTCAATTAATAGTAATGGAAGTAATAATAAAAATAAGATTTGGAAGGCAGGTTAGATGAACAGAATTGTTCTGGTTGCATTTGAAGTAGTTTCTAAGGTCCAGCTCCTAGGCTAGCAGCTTTGGAATCGGGAATTGCAGCATGACTACAGGAAGAACTGGATGTCATGAGGTTGCTATTAAGAATCTTCTCAGGCCCCTATCAAAAATATATATCTAATGTGTCTTTTAACTCAAGGATTACCATCCTTTCCCTTTGGCATGTTTAGGGCCCTTAGCATAAAGTATTGCCAGATCCCCCACAGCAAGGTCCTGCCTTGACAGCTAGTCTGCTGTCAAAAGCAACGGCAATTTTACATGCCCATGAAAAGATTCCCAATTTGAGGAGCATCGTCTATATTTGGGAATAAATCACTGAGATGGCTTCATTCTTGAGGGTAGCCCAAAGAAGCAGCGGAGGTATACTGAGCTATCGCATGAATTTTCCGTGTTTGGAGGAAAAGCAAAGGAGCCCATTGTAATAATGAGAGCAGTGTCACGGCAAACGTGGGGAGAGAGCAGTGGTGTAGTGCGGAGTGTGTGTGTGCGGAGGAAGCAGATCGCCCCAGGCGGCACTTACCTTTGGGGGCGGCACAACGGGTACGGAGCCCAAGGTGGTGCGCAAGCCCAGGCGCCCCAAGAGCCCAACGCACCACTCGCAAAAGCTGCACGTGGATGGGCTTGCAGTGCACCCATGCTGCTGTGTCTCCCCTAATGGCCCTCTGGTGGCCAAGAAGGATGCAACAGGCACACATTGGCCCCTGTGAGCGGCACTGGGCTCTTAGGGTGCCTGAGCCGCCATGTCCGTCCCAGCTGCCCTCAAGTTCTCCCACACCTCTTCCACACACACTGGTCTTACCTTGAGTGCTCAGGTGTGCTGTCACTTCAGGATGTTCTGCCAGCTGCTGGCTTGGAGGAATGATAGGAGGGCTGAACGCATTTAACCAATCCCTGAAAAACACAATTTAAATAATTAAAGTTCGGGATGGGGGGAGGAATGGAAGTGTAGCTTATGTAGCAGCAGATATGGCTTTGTGTAACATGAGGCCTAGCCAACTCTCCCCCTTCCACCTTGCTACCTCCACTCCTTTCCTTGATTGGTTCCAATTTGGCAGGGCAGTAAAATGATATGATTGTGATGATGATGATGCTAATAATAATAATAATAATAATAATAATAATTTATTTATATCCCGCCCATCTGGCTGGGCTTCCCCAGCCACTCTGGGCGGCTTCCAACAAAGTATTAAAATACAATAGCCTGTCCAACATTAAAAGCTTCCCTAAACAGGGCTGCCTTCAGATGTCTTCTAAAAGTCTGGTAGTTGTTTTTCTCTTTGACATCTGGTGGGAGGGTGTTCCACAGGGCAGGTGCCACTACTGAGAAGGCCCTCTGCCTGGTTCCCTGTAACTTGGCTTCTCGCAGTGAGGGAACCGCCAGAAGGCCCTCGGCGCTGGATCTCAGTGTCCGGCTGGAACGATGGGGGTGGAGACGCTCCTTCAGGTATACAGGCCATAAGCTGTTTAGAGCTTTAAAGGTCAGCAACAGCACTTTGAATGGTGCTCGGAAATGCTAATATGCTAACAAAAATGGGAGTGCGAAAAACAATATTAGTGTTCCTTTTTAGGGAAGCTCTGAGGTGTATATCTCACTTTTTGTTTACTGTGCTTCATGGGCACGCAAGGATAATCCACTGTAACCACTGCTCTGTATTTGGTGAGACTAGCAAATTGTAGCCCAGGGAAAAAACCCAATGTTCTAAAAGGCACTGCTTCTTTAAGGTAGCATTTGACCCAGTCCGCAGAGAAATGCAACTTGAAGAAAATGCTTCTTTGACAAAATGCACTCCTGTGAAAATAATTTAATACTGACATTGTTTCAATATAGTGCGCAGCACTATTTACAGCTGATTCAGCAAATATAGCAGCCAGGAGCTTCCAGAATTTAATCTCGAAACATTAGTTAAGAATCAGATCCATGATAAAAATGTATACCGGTTCCTTTTGTTATCGCTGCAAAGAAGCAGAGAACAATCACAGGTACCTCACCTCCACCCAAGCTCTAGAAAGGCATTGTATTTGATTCACGAGGTTTCTTGGGCCCCTTTAACTTTCAGAGAGATTGGGGATGTGGTATAAGAAAGGCTGGAGTTTGACAACAGGTAGTTCAAAGAGCTGAAGATACGGAATGAAAGAGGCACTACAATCTCTGGTCAATCAGCTTTCCAGGTCTTTGTGGTACTTGAAAAATAATTTCTTCCGCTTTAAAGAACAGTTTTATTTTCAATGTAGGGGCGTGCCGATGGGAGCCCATTGTGCTCCATCCCTCGCCTGTATCTACATGTGTTCTTTTGATTTAGAATACATTTTGAGTGATTTGAACCCATTTAAGGTAAAGGTAAAGGTACCCCTGCCCGTACGGGCCAGTCTTGACAGACTCTAGGGTTGTGCGCCCATCTCACTCAAGAGGCCAGGGGCCAGCGCTGTCCGGAGACACTTCCGGGTCACGTGGCCAGCGTGACATCGCTGCTCTGGTGAGCCAGAGCCGCACACAGAAACGCCGTTTACCTTCCCGCTAGTAAGCGGTCCCTATTTATCTACTTGCACCGGGGTGTGCTTTCGAACTGCTAGGTTGCCAGGCGCTGGGACCAAACAACGGGAGCGCACCCCGCTGCGGGGATTCAAACCGCCGACCTTTCGATCGGCAAGCCCTAGGCGCTGAGGCTTTTACCCACAGCGCCACCCGCGTCCCTTCTTGAACCCATTTAGGAAGCACTTATTGGCTTATTATCGTTTTATCGATGATTTAATTTTTGTTTTGGACCAGGATATGTTCTTGGAATTTGACATTTGGTTAAATCAATGTGATACAGCTTTAAGATTTATTGGTAAAAAGAGCGAGGTAAGCGTCTCCTTTCTAGATGTTGAATTATTTTTTGTCACTGAACGTAATGAACGTATCATTAATTTACGTCCATTTCGCAAACCTACTGATAGGAATTTCTTACTTCACTATCATTCTAATCACCCGGTCCAATTAAAAAATAGTCTCCCGTTTAGCCAATTTATTAGACTCAAAAGAAATTCTTCCCTTGAAACTGATTTTCAAAAAAATGCTGCATCCCTTTCCTCTTCATTAAGAGATAGAGGTTATCCGCAGGAAATAATTCAAACAGCCTTTGAAAGGGCTAAAAGAACTTCTAGGCAGGAATTGATGGCACCAAAACCTAAAAACAAACAGGATAGGGTTTTTGGTTCTATATAGAGTACACTTGTTTATCTTCTTCCATTGTAATTGATTAAGCGACATTGGCACATCATTTCCCATATTCCAGGCTGTGAAAATGTGCCTATTTTATGCAAAAGGCGCACTAGATCGTTTAGGAACCTTCTTCCCCACACTGATGTACTTCAATATCATAATGATGACCCACACACAACGTTGAAAGGGCATTATAGATGCGGTCATTGCACATGTTGCAGATTTGCTTTGCCTGTGAAATCATTTACCAACACAATAAATGGGCGAAAGGTTGTCTTGCAGCAGTTTACAAATTGTTCTACAAAAAACTGTGTGTACTGTATCCGATGTGCTTGTGGGCTTCTATATGTTGGTAGTACAACTCGTGCAATCAGGACTAGAATGTCTGAGCATAGGTCCAAAATACGCAATGCTTGTCTAGACACCCCATTAGTCCAGCATTTCCAGCAAGAGGCTCACACTGAAAATGACCTGAGTTTCTTCATTCTGTTGACTTTTTAAAAACTACCCTTTAGATCTGTTGATGTACGAAGAGCCTTGTTACAGAAACAGTACAAACTAATATTTCAATTAGGAACCTTGTTTCCAAAAGGTTTGAATACCGAATTTGACCTTGGATGTTACACATAAATCAATTTTTGTGCCATTGTTTGTTTAGCAACAATAGAGAAGTGTTACTGTACCCTTAACAATGTACCAATGTGATGATTGATTCTATGCATCTGTAATGTATTTAAATGTTTGTTATTACCAGTTTCAATATTTACTGTGACTGTGAGTAGTTCGTACGATCTTCTGTCTTGAGCGAACCGTGTTGAGTGATTAGGTAAGACACAACATGAGATGGTATTGCACATATTTTATGGTCTTTCATTTATTGTAACTGGAATGCATTTTGTATTATTTAGCACTATTGACTGATGAAGCTTGCTGCGAAACCTGGATAATATCCGGAGACCAGGTCTCATCAATTTGGCTCCATTTGACTATTTGTACCACTTTCACTATGGGAGCAGTGAGGAGTTGTTTTCCTGCAACCGTGCACACACATAAGGCTTTGTGCCTCCAGCAAATGACTATTTGAAGAACGCTTTCTCGCAACCGCTCCTACTTATATGGATTTGTGCTTCCAGTGAACGACTATTTGGAGAACGATTTGTTTGCTCCAGCCGTGTAATGTAATACTTACAGCATACACAACCGGTATAGTAAAGAGAGAGACATTAGTTCATTCTATGTTTATGAGTCTCCAGGCTTGGTTATGCACATTGCACTTTAGTTTGCTCATTGTTTAGTAGGTTTATGAGTTTATATACCTATTCTAGTAAAATTGTCCTTTATATTCATAAGCCAGCTTTGGTGTTGTTGGTTTGTTGTACAATCATTGTCATTACACCCAATACTTTTTGCGTATACTTTAAAATACATTTCCCCATCAGCCCTAGCCAGTATGGTCAATGGCCAGGCGAGAGTGCAGACCAAAACATCTGGAAGGTACTAGGTTATGGAAGACCACTATATGCATTGGCTGTAAACTAGTCTCATTGAGCCCAACGGGAATCAAGTTGTTTTCATTTATTGATTTCTTACATTTACTGCTGAGTAGACATTCAAAGGATGGTAATGTGGCTGTGAAAAAGCATGATCTGTCGCACAGCTGAGGGGCTATTTAAACTGGCAATATGGTCCCCATATCAAAAACAACCTCACTACGGCATTATTAGATGAAACTGTATCAGACTGCAGCTTGATGCTTGCTATATGCTCAGCATTAGAGCACCTGCATTGCATGCAGCTGGTCTCAGGTTCAGTCTCTGGCATCTCCAGATAAGGCTGAGAAAGGCTCTCTGTCTGAAACCTTGGAGAGCCGCTGCCAGGCAGTGTAGATAACACTGAGCTATCTGCAGTGGCGTAGCGTTGGTTGCTTGAGCTCGGGGCGGGTGGGTGCAGTCCAGGTGGGGTGCACCTGCCCAGCTCTTGCTGCTGAAGAAACCCCACCCCTGCCGGAGCCACGCTGAGCTGCCTGTCCACCCATGCAGGGGGGAGCCCAGCTGACCAATGCGGCCCTTAGTGGGCAGAGCAGTGTACCAGGCTGTGCCGTGCTGGGGTTGCATGAATGGGGGGGCACCTGGGTTATACACCCTCAAAAATTGTGCCTGGGGCCATGGGCCTCCTGGCACACACAACCCCCCAATGCTATGCCCCTGGCTAGGTGGACAAATGGGCTGACTCAGTTTCAGGCCTCTTTCTATGTTCCTTTGGAACAGACATTGTCCCACAAAAGCTATCCAACTTTACTATTTTATTTGTAAAACACACAGGCTCCTCTAATGATCTTAAAGCTCCAATCGTAGACAATGAGAACTAATGATAATAATCAGCTGAGTTACTGAACCAGTTATTAGGAGCCTGCAGAGTCTGCAGGAGCCTGACGACACTTGCAAGGCAGTGGGAACGTTTTCTGGGGAGAAGCTGAATGAAGATGAATAGGCAGACAGGCACGTTTTAGTGTGATTTTCAGAGATGGCCAGGACTAACAGCTACAGACACCCCTTCAAGATATAAATATCGCTGGAAATCAAGCACAGTGGCAAACTAAAGCCACACTATAGTGCCAAGGTTTCTTTATCTGTTCCTCCAATATCTTGCCCATCAGTTCATGTGACAGCTATGTATTTCTGTCCCTTCC